GAAACAATATCTACAAAGGTAATGAGCAATACTTTAATTCCCATTATCCACTGCAAAAATAAATATTCCTCAAACATCTTCTATGGGTGAAATACTAGGCTAGGCTATAAGTACAGAGAAAATGATGATCTTTATAATCTAGAAAAATAAAGCAGAGAAATGCTTAACTAATGACAATAACTACATGATAAATCTGAGGCATCTCAGAGAAACAGCTTTCATAGGACAGCAGTCAAACAGAATGAAATTGGATTTGATCAAGATACCAAATAAAAACAGTAGTCATTAGGTTTAGCTGGGAAGAGAAGAGGCAAGTAGGTTGCTATGTCCTTTGGGTTCCCAAAGCATATCACTTATCTGTTACTGCATTTAACACACTGTATGGTAGTTTGTCATCTCTGCTTATTCAATTGAATAAGAGACCCTATTCGCTTCATTTTTCTATCCCTAATCCCTAGCAGAAGGTCTGGCACACAGAAGATAATCAATATATGTTTTCTGAACAGGCAAGGTAAGGACAGGATTCCCTATTTAAATTATTTGAATCTATACTACTTGTGCAGGTAATTTACTCCCTGTCCCTCAACTCCAAAACCACCACTCTAGACTGCTCTGTGGTGCTTAGGCTGAGACTGTGCAACTGTATTTCACCAACTCTTCTGCCAGGGGGCTCCCTGTTAGGCTTTGCCAGTGGAGGTAATGAATGGAGATGGGAAAGCAGGAAGATGGGTGAGGGGACTTCCTTCCAGTTACTGGCAGCAGCAATCGGTTCCAGCCTCCAGCTTCTTTCAGTATCCCCCAGAACTAATCAGCAGCTCAACAAGGCTGACCTCAAAAGTTCAGAACCAGGCCAGTAGAACACCTTCTCTGAGCTCTTTAACTGATTACTAAAACGTTCTCTTTTTGCTCTTAACACTCATCTAACCATCTCCCTATATTAAATCCCCTCTGTTCAAATTCCTATTGAAGTTTGTTTTCTCTGTTGGACACTAATACATTGTTAATCACAGTGATTCTAGCTGCTCTCCTCTGATACCTTGCTTCTTTACTGAAGGGAAAAGCAAAGGAACATTGGAGTTATAGGTAAAATATATTTTAGAAAAAAAAAACACCAAACCCTTTAAATTAGTGTCTATTAAATTGCAACAAAAAAATCATTTAACTTTTGTGATTTAAACTATCCAGCTTGCAAAGGAAAAAAAAGGAAACAAGAAACATTTAAACAGTTCAGGCTATTCCAAGCACAACCCCCACCCCCCGCACGTCCTCTCACTAGAGCACATGTATCCTAGAGAAAATGTGAGATTCCTCAGTGGTCTCAGTTCCCACAAGCCTCTCCTGGTATGAGCATGATGCCACGCTGAATGTGATTCTTATATTTAAAGACTTTTTTTCTTTTTGCTGTGTTCAACACAGCTCATACTGCAGGCTGACTACTTCATCTAGTGTTCAACAAAAGAAACAACAATCTATTCCAACACTAAAGCTGAAATGAACTTATTGGTATGTTTTCCTATCCTAAGGGATTTTCAAGCATAACTTCTTACCACATGTGTTTTTCATTTTACACTGACATTAGAATCTAACTTCTTCATAAACTACAACTACACGCTACAGCATAGGAACAAAAAGAAATCCCTCTTGCAGGAGAGCCCCAAATCAATACAACTGTTGAAAACAAATGACCAAAATGCTTTGTTCAAATGTTATGGTTTGTTACTTCATTTAATAAAATGCCCTCATTAGACAATTTAATCTGAGTTTAATTTCAAAAATAATTTTTCGGGCTTCCCTGGTGGTGCAGTGGTTGGGAGTCTGCCTGCCGATGCAGGGGACACGGGTTCGTGCCCCGGTCCGGGAAGATCCCACTTGCCGTGGAGCGGCTGGGCCCATGAGCCGTGGCCGCTGAGCCTGCACGTCCGGAGCCTGTGCTCCGCAACGGGAGAGGCCACAACAGTGAGAGGCCCGCGTACCGCAAAAAAAATAATAATAATAATTTTTCATTATTGTACTTAATACATTGATTTTTTAAAATTATGACAAAATGGCAGATACGTAGAGAGAAGGAAAATTCAAGCAATGAGAATCTTTCTCAGAATTCTTAGTAACGTATGTATATAGTTCCTGAGCATCCAAGAAAAGGTATCACTAGCCCGAGACCTATTAGTCCACTTCGGCTGCCTAACACCCATAAGACAAAAGAGAATTGAAAAAAATTTTAAAGTTGAAAGTCCATGCCAGTTCCACTGGGGTTCCTCCACAAAGCATAAAAGTGGAGAGGGGGCCACCTACTCCCTTAGCATAATTCGGGGACTCATCACCTAGCTCCTGCCCATGGACATACTAACACCAGTTGCTACTTAACTGCCAAAAGTCCCATTACCACTGTCAGTATATCCATGTAAAATCAACCAAGCTATACACCTTACAAGAGACACCAGAGGACCCGTCTGACACATTAGGTAGACAAAGTGAAAGTCTGGGGGGTGGGGGGGTGGGGGGAATAGACAGGATATCTGGATCTACAGAGAATGGACAGGGTAAATTTTACTGTACCTTTGTACCCAAATTATATGGGGATCTACTCACTTAAATGCAAATGAACATTCAATAAGTTACTATAATAACTTATTGATATCTTCAAAGATTCCAAAGAAATGAAAAACATCAGGAAATTAAATAACTAATGTCTGACGACAATGTCTGTCTTCCACACCATGTGTAACAAACATTAATTAAAAATCAAGTGTAGATCTGTACGCCATCAGACTGTACATAATCTCACAGTATTTTTCCCTTTTTAAAAACTGCAAACTGTGATACACTGTCTAGTTTCCCCAAACTTAACAAATGAGTCGATACAAAGGTGTGAGGTGCTTTAAGTCACACCAGAAATGCTGCCGTAATTTTAATAAAGTGCATTTTAATGTTAACTCACTTTTCTTGCTAGAAGGAATTATGCTTCTGTGCTAATGTATAGAAATGAAACTGTCACTGAAACATCTGGTTATATGTTATTCATTAGACATATATCACCTTTACTCCAAAGACTGCATAATATAAACACAAATCACGAATAAATCAAATTAAAGAGACAGACCTGACACCACATGCTGCAGGTCAGTAATAGACAAATGAAATTCCAAAGATGTTTGCTGACCTGCTCCATATTTCTATCCACAAAAACCTGGGAGCTAGCAGTCTGAGTGTTCCACACAGGCAGAGGAAAAAACTCAAAATTTGCAGTCTGTTGAATGTCTGCATTGTCTACAGTATATTAATGGTTCTAATTTAAAATCTTTCTATGCAGCACATTTGAGGACCATCAGCATATTTTTCTAATACTCAAGCGGACTAGCCTACTCAGGCAGTTTTCCTTCATAAATTCTCCATTTCACTCTCACAACTACTATAATTTACCTCAAATGTGTATTCCACAACGGTACCTGAAGGAAATTATCTCCAATCCTTAGAAAAAGTAAGGGGCCATATTTGCTGTGTTAGCCTTGGAAAATGGAGTCTTATATAACTACCCATTATTTTACTAAAAATCACATTAAATGTACAAACAAGATTTTAAAAGATACCTGTTGATTGTGACAAGTAGAAATTTTAGGGGGAAAAAAGTAATAACCAAGAGTCATATTGCTGCCATTTAAATGCTTTATAAGTCAAAGGATGAAACACTCACTTTAAAACCAAGCTCTAACACCAATCTAAGTTATTAAAATACTCAACAACTACACTCTAATGCAAGTGAGGAAAGTAGATTATCTGCCAATTACACTAAGTATTCCAGCTGACCATCTTGGAACTACCAAAAGTAGACTGTGTGATGCAAATCACACATACATTAGTTTTAAACATAATTCTCAGTCTAAAACAATGAAAACATGTCTCAATTATTTTACTTTTTAAAAGAAGTAAACCATATTACTACAATGCCGAATGCAAAGCGACCCTTTTCACAGCAAACAAGTATCTTTACACACCTTCGAGAAACCTGACATTTTCAAACCATTTTACCACGTAAAGGTACACATTCTCTAAAACTTCTGACAGCCAGGCAATAGATACCCCAAAAAGATTCAAGGAGATAAGCCTATAATTGGTCTTAGGGGCCAAATAATCGGAATGAACCTCAAAGTTTTAGAGACCAATTTTTACTAACAGTATCTCTAGGAGCAGGGAGGCAACGTCTGTAGGAGGGAAATGATCCTGACAACCAGGACGAGGGCTCCCCGGCGACACTCGGTACCAAAGACCTCAGCGTACACGACTGGGTTCAAAACGCGAAGCTTCCATCAGAAACAAACCAAGACACCCCCTCCCCCCACGACTCCTCTGGGGCAACCTCGAGGTTTTAGAAAGCAGCAACAGATACTCCCGAGCAAGCAAGTGGCAGTCCAGGAATGTTTTAACCAGGAGGGGTCTCCCCGCAGCCTACAGAGAACCCCGACGCCGAGGAGCGCCTCTACGCTCGAACCCTGACTCCAGCACCCCGGGGGGAAGCGGGCTATTTGCACAAAGCGCCCCTACCTCACCCACCACAGTGCGGACACACACACCCGGCTGCGAGGGGGAAGCCCGGGGAGGAAAACCCTGCATTCCACGCGGTTCGCCCCCGGAGAGCGGACGTGGAGAGGCTGGGGCTCCCGCCCCGGGAGGCGAGGGGGCCGCACCGCAGCCCCGGCCTCCGCGCAGAGGAGCGAGCGGTTCGCACGAAGGAAGGAATCCCCGAGATTCGCCCACGGGGTCCTCCCCAAGTCGGACTCCCCACCCCCGCCAAGACCCTCAAAGAAACGGGAACAATGAGAAGCCGCCTCCCCCGCCCCGAGAGCTGCCGGGGGTGGCGGCGCCATCTCCCCTCACACCCCCGCGAACACACACCCCCCCCCACGGCCCCGGGGCGGCCGTCAGCCTCCCGCAGCCACGCCGAGCTAACGCGCGGCCGAGCCCGCCGCTTCCGCGCCCCTCGCCTACCCGCCCGCCCCGCTCACCGGCTCCTGCTCCAGTCCGGGGCTCCGCTAGCCGCGGCCGGAGCGAAACTCAGGTACAAGGAGCCGCGGCTGCCGGCGCCGCCGCACAATATGGCGAGCCTCGGCTTCCGCAATGGAGCTCGGGAAATACAACAGGGGCCGCTCAATATTCATGAGAGACCGAGGGGAAGCCGGCTCGGCCGGCGCAACGGAGAGGGCGGGAAGGAGCGAGTGGGCGAGGGGGCGGAGGCGCGGGACTGGGACGTGCACTGCGCCAGGAGGCCCGTGGCGCAAGGGGAGGGGGCGCCGCCGCGTGCTGCCAGGAGGGCCCGAGCCACCGCCCCGCCCCGGCCCGTCCGGCCCCGCCCCCCGGCGCCCTCCGCTGGGCGACTGAGCCCCCGGCCAATGCCCGGATGACGGCTGCGCCACTTCGTTCTCGGCGTTCTCTCTCCTTGAGGTCTCCTGACCCTACCTGTGACCCCCATTAAGCCTCCCTGACGGGCTGCTGGGGATCGGGTTCGGACTCCTGCTCTCGCCTGTGACTCCCTAAAACACAACCAGTTAGTCTACCAAAGAGTATATAAAATGTGTATAAATTAAGATACAAACTGAAGTAACAAAGTGAAAGAGTTCCCTGAAGTCAAGATATACTACTGGTGAGATGATCTGTTCTCTGGAAAAGGTAACCAACGCTACCAGATAGTTAATGTGAAGGCCCTTGTGGCACGAAGGAATGGACTGCACTGGGAATTGGGCGAACTGGGTTTATAGCTTCCAATGTGTCTCTTAACTATGTGACTTAACTAAATTATATAATTGCTCTGGACTTTACTTTCCTCATTTGCAAAATGAGAGGATTGTGTTGAATGATTCTTAGGTCATTTCCAGCTTTTGAATTCTGTAAAACTCTCTACAAGCAATGCCAAATAAATGGTATGAATTTACATAAGATTTTGGAAAAGCAAAGGAACCGTTCCAGCTGGTGTATTCAGGGGAGATTTCCTGAGGAGCTCGGAGTCGAGTAGGACTGTGAGTGTTAGCTTTGGATAGGTAGAAAGAAAGAAGACAGGCATTAAAATATTAAACACAACACACTGTGTGCCCTACCTAACAATCCATTAAGGTAAACAAGAGCAAAGACAGTGACTTCAAAACTGTCACTAACTATCTAAAGCTTTAAATAAGAAATGACAATTCTCAGATTTTACCAGCCCTTCAAGGTTAAGGTCTTTTTCCAATGTGGAAAACAAAAAAATCAAAATAATTAGGAATGCTTCTGCTTCTACAAGGTCCACTTTCTAGAGACAGGGAAGTTGCAGAAGCATCTCCCTTCTTTGTTCACAACTACACATGTCGTTCAATTAATGCTGCTCATAATTCAGAACGTTTTGCTCTAGTCAAAATGCTTATGAAAATGTGTGGTCAGTTTAAGAAATTCAATTGATGTTGAGGAAAGTGATCATCTGTAAAAAGCATAGGAACTTTATGGATAAAAGTTAAATATGGTACTTTGAAAAAATTCACAGGACAATTGATGGAAAACTTATGGGATATCTGGATTAAATGTGAATAAAAAGCTAGACCTCAGGCTAGCATCCTTAGTAGGAAAGACACTACTGACAAATTAATGGAACTCATATTATCTGTTTTATCTCTTACTCAGAATCTTGGACTGAGAGTATTATGGGCCTTCCCTGACTACCTTAATCAGGAAAGGCTGTGTTATGGTATAGTAACAAATCTCCATGCCTTAACACAACAGAAGTTTATTGCTTGCTCATGCTTCATGTGAATCAGACTCATTCTATTTCAGTCACTCCAGGACTGACAGAGGGCTCCAGATTGACAGAGGGCTCACCATCTTGTAGCTGTATCACCCAGAACACAGCAACTGAGTCTCTGTGGCAGAGGAAGAAAGTGAGTAAAGAATCCCTTTGAACTTTTCACAGCCTTAGCTTGGGAAGGAAACAGATGGCTGATCACATGTCATTGGCCAAAACTAGTTACATAGCCTCCTCCATCTGCAAGGGGACTGAGTCCTTGAGCTGAGGCTGAACCGAGTTCAGAAGAAGTGGTGATATTGGTGGCCAATACTGACGTCAATCACCCTGACCCCACCAGTCAGCTTCTAGATATTATGAAAAAACTCTAAGAAGTTTTATTTCATAACACTAGCTCTTTTGAGTGGCTTCAAGAAAGGTATGCTTTCAAAACATAAACTCTCTGTACTTGTTAAGAGTTGATTATCATATAAGTAGAATGGTCTTTCCATTTTTCTTCCCCTTTGTTTTTAATTGTGTATTAAATCAATGTCAAATCCATAGTCAGCCTGTCAATAGTGATTTGACATATCCAGGCTATATTCTTTTTGCTAATTTTTCGACCTGACATGAGGGATACCACCCTGAAAAACATTTTCTACTAACACCCTGCTCCTTTGTTAAATGTACTAATTGGAAGTGATAACTATATTTTAAGCAGGAAGACATTACATTAATACTGTATAATACTAGATGAACTCTAGTTAGAAAGTTTCTTTTCCCTCAAAACTTCAGAAGTAGTACCCTGTTAATCACATGGTGAATTGGGTAGACATCTCTGATCACAAAAATCATCTCTTTACTGGCTTTCTGCTATGGTAATGCTGCAAAATTAGATTAGTTCAGCTCAGTCGACTTTTATTGAGCATCTACTATGTGCTAACACTTTGCCAAGTGCTTGGAATAAAGATATTAATGTAACTAGGACACAAGTTCCTTGAGAGCAGAAATCTTGTTCACCAGCGTGTACCTAGCACAATGCTTGGCATGTAATAGATGCTCCTTAAATAGGCATTAAGAGAATGAAAGACTGGGAATCTTTGATCCCAGTGTGTATATGAAATAGAATAGTTCATATGAGCTTCGTTTGCCTCACTTTACCACTTTAAAGCAGACATTCCTATCAAGATTGCATTTAGTCCCCGAGAGGCTTTCTCTGTTTAGGCAGTGTGTCTCAAATGGAAATTCACGCCTGCCTATTCTATATCCACTCCATGGATTTCTTTTCAGCTGTGCTCCAAATATCTAATTGTTATCTGCTTATCTGAGATGAAAATTGCAGGCCACCAATAGTTTGTTAATAACAAGCTATGTATATACCACAGTTTACAGAACACTTTTATATCCATTATTTCACTGACTCTTCAGAACAGTTCTCCAAGGTATTATTCCTACTTCACAGAGGAGGGAAATGTGATTTCTGTGGTTAAGTAACTCTCCCAAACATTGAGTTCATAAGTGGCAGAGCTGAGGCTCAAACCTAGGTAATCTGACTCCAAGTTCAGGATACATTCCATTATGCCACATGTGCCTTCCTACTCTGTGCTGCATACACAACTCCAGCATTTTTCTTCTTTCTAATGGGTAAGCAGTCTGAGGCAAACATCTCCAGAGCTTCCTCTCAACACTAGTATTTATTCCAGTCCTCAATGTGGTCTATTTTCAAGAAGCTAGAGATAATGCTAAATATAATAGTATATGAACCTGATCTGTTGACAAAAAAAATCAGGTTTTGTTTTTGTTGTCTTAGAAAAGTTACTTTAAGGAAACAAAACAAAATGAAAACTAAAAGGTAGGTTAAAAGACTGGAATATCTTGGGATTTAATCACTATATATATGTATATATAAATATATATATATATATATGTATGTGTGTATATATACATATATATATAAACTGTCAAAATATATCTTCTACCAGAATCTTTATTTGCCATCTTTTAGATGTGTTGTGCTTTCTTTGAAAGGGTCAAATTAAGTAGAAACATTGTAGAAAGGCCTAAAGAGACCTATAATTCAAGGTGGCTTCAGGAAGCAGGCAGCTCAAGATTTACTACCTCTTCAGCTGAAAAAATATAGCTCTAGCCACAAGCTTTAGTGAAGTTTTTTTTATTTGTATTTCAACATAGTGCATTTCTTTTTGTGACACTTCCCTTTTGGTGTTTTAGTTCATTGTTCCTTTTTATATTCCTAGGACAACCAAAATAATTGGTGCTACTCTTAACTGTTCAGCTTAAACAGATTAAAAGAGATGGGCTGGTAGAGCTTTTGGGGAGAACTAAACAATATTGCTGTTTCCCTTCTATGGAGACTTGGAATGGTATTTTATATGTCCCAGATGTGGCCACATTCTTCCTAACATCTGTTAGTGCCTTTTAGTAAAATAATGAACTAGCATGTGTTTGAAAAAAGGCAAAAGAATAAAAGTTTTCATTCTGATGCAGCACAAATAGCCAACTGTTTCTTTGTAGTTAATAATGGAGGATATAATTGTGATATCCAACTTGATATATAAAATAAAGTATGATTTAATAATTAACTGGCTTTAGTTTTCTAATGTGAAGTAAGTTTATTCTATTCAGACAAACTTTACAGGTTTTTTCCTTTTAAAATGTTTACTGCAAGAGATGAGAACTGTGCCTTGGCATTGATCTAGGAACACCAAGAATAATCCTGGAAACTAGCAAGGAATAGATAATTAAGATCAAAACTTAGAACTAAAATGGAAATTTCTCTGGAAAAGAAGGCTGGAAGATCCTAGGGGAAAGTACAGATGAAGAGTGCGAAATATTTAAATCAAATTACAGCTTGCTCAAACTGCCCTTGTGGACAATTTAATTTTTCCCACTTAAAACAAGCATGGAAGAATAGTTTTTGTGGGTGAGAGAGTGGAGGGTAAAGACATCTCTTATCTAACACATTTCTTGGAAATGTTTTTCAGTAAAGAATTTAAAAGAACTGCCAGATCCCAACCATACAAAGAAAATTTTGTTTTAGACTACATCAAGATGTAGAAAACCCTGCAGTATCCATTAGCCTTTAATACTCCACAAAAGTAAACCACTGAAATATACATTGAATAACATACTGAAGTAGGTTACAATTCAGGTAAATCTGAAAACCATTCTGGTCAACCTAGAATACCAAGGTTTTATGTGTTACATCCAGGAAGAGATTTTTTTCCTAAGGATTTTAGTCTGTAGAAAATTTTTTGTTTTATATTTTTTTAAAAATTTATTGAAGTATAGTTGACTTACAATAGTATATTATTTTCAGGTGTACAACATGGTATTTCAATATTTTTATAGACTACACACCACAAATATTATACAGTATTATAAAGTATTGGCTATCTTCCCTGTACTGTACATTACATCTCTGTGTCGTACTTATTTTATAACTGCTAGTTTGTACCACTTAAGCCTTTCACCT